CAGGAAAGCTGTTCATATCGCCCAAGCAGAGCCCTGCTCTTGCTCTGCAAAGATGAAAGTGCCGTGACCCAGGGAGGGCCCTTCCCTGAGGGGCTCCCGGCGCGGCTCGGGATGCTGATGCCCATCTGTTGGGGTGGCACCACGCCAAGTCACCAGCGGGCTGCATCCTGCACCAGGCTCAGCACCACAGTGCAGCCTGTCACAGCACCCCGGGCTCGCTCCCCAGAGCAGAGCTCTTGCATCGATCCTAAACCGCGGCTTGGCATCGCCTGGAGAGGAAGGATCGACCCCCGCTAGAAACACGTGAAAGAAAACAGTCCACAGCCCTCACTGGACACATCAGAAAGGGTAAATAACGTGATTCCACCAACATACCACGATATAATACCAAAAAACAAACCCAGTCCGTGCAGAAAGCTGATTCTACCCCAGGGACTTACCATGGGGTGAGACCTTGGGTCATCCTTTGCAGACAAGGTGCTTGCACAGGCCTTCCTGAGCCCCCAGCAGCAAAGATGGAGCTGCTGACACTGAGGGCTGTACAGGCAGCTCGAGGGCTGCTGAAGGAGTTTTTGGGCAGGAAAGGTAGAGATACATTTGGAATCAATGATCTTAAAGGTCTTTTCCAACCTAAATGATTCCCTGGGGGCAATACTGCTGTTCAGGGAAGAAGGAAGCTCTGAGGGAGATATTTGGGAGCACAAACCAGCTCAGATATAGCCTGCACTAAAGGCAGAAGTCAACCACCCATCCTGGCTGAAGCCCCCAGAAGGTGCCTATTTATCAGCACACCTGAGGGTGGGGATGGGCCTGGACTTCAGTGCAGGTTTAAGGTTAAGTGTTTGCACATGGGCTTTATTAAATTAGGGCCGAAGGTTCAGTGGGAATTGCCCCAGTGGGAACTGGCTGGTTTGTCCTGCAGCTTTTAGTCCATGAACTGAAAGCTCCCTGCCCTGCTGGTGTTGGGGCAGGGTGTGGGGTGGGAGCTGGACCCTGGTGCAGGTGCCTGGTTCCATCTTTACTGTGCCCAGTATTTATATTTCCAAGTGCAGCAAAGCAGCCCAGTGGTTTATGACACCCACAGAGCTGCAGGAAGAGCCACATCAAAGGCCTGAACAAAGGCACTGAAGCATCACGGGGCCACCACCTGCGCTGGGAGCAAACCTCGGATTGTGGGGATGCTTCCAGGATCTCCTGAGTGGAGCAGCAGAGCCTTCATTCAGAGTTTTCATTACAGATTCAAATCTATACTGAAATTAGTCAGGCAGTGACCTCATCCAACAAGGATGAACAAACATGAAGATGACAAGCAAGTGTCGATAAGTCTCGGAAGACGTAACTTCATTCCTGAGCACAATTAAACGCAGCCTTGCAAACATCCAGGCTCTGACTGTTCATGAAATCCACATGGAGCCATCAGCCTTCTTAGGTCTGTTTTTCCACCACTCTCAGATGCAGAATTAGAGTCTGACTGCATGAAAACTGACTGTATAAAATTCAGGTGAGAAGATTTAGATGGGCTCTGACTTTGAAGAGGAAGTGTCAGTGCTGAAGAGTCCCTTCCTAAAAACACTTGCTCTGGGAGAAGAATTCAGCTGTGGTCCCAGGATTGACCCACCACATCTTAGTTTGGCTGGAATAAGACAATGGCAGAATCAGGCCCCACAACCTTCTCTTGAAATGATGGTCAACTCTGACTGGTATTAAACTTCAACATCAGGTTTCAATGGGAGAAGAACAAGATTCCTAAAGTATAAATCTGGTGAATAGATGTTATGAAGTTGGAAGTACTGTGTTATAACTTCATTGTCCAGCTGAGACACAGGTATTCCTTTACTTTGCTCGTTCTAAAAACACACATTTCCTTTTTTCTAGTCCCAAGTATTAAGTCTGAAGCACGTGCTGACAAATATAAAGCCCATCTCTGTGTCCACTAGTCTGTAAGTTTATGGAGCATTTAAAACAAACAGGCTGTTGGGACCTGGGTCTGCAGATTAAATTGTTTCAGAGAGATGCTCAAAGGAGGTCACAACTCTAAATCCTCCTCATGTGAAGCTCCCTGTCCATCTTCCCAAGGCTGAAAACACCGCCCTGAATATTGGACATATCTGGCTTGAAAGGAAAATTAAAAGTTTCCTGTTACTAGCAACAGCATTAGAAGAACCATCAGGAAAGAAAATATCTCTTCTCCCAAGGATGATTGGAAGGAAGCAGAGCCCTCATGGCCTGCAGCCAATGGTCAGGTCCATGGGACAGAGGGATGAGCAGAGATTGGGATGAGGGACAGCAGAGCAAGGGCACAACACAAAGCACTCTTTGCTGTTCCCTGCTTCTCTGTCAGTGAAGGAGAGACCAACCTGTGGCAGCAAATGGTAAACAAGTGCTATTTTATCCAGGGGTTTGCCTTATTTACATTATGACAAACGCCAGATAACATAACAGAGCTGCACAATTGCTGTGTGAAAATGCTGCAAACTGCTCCCAAACCCAGAACACTCCCTCTTTCTCTCACACAAGACTTTTGTGGGATCAAATACTCATTCAGTTCTCTCAGTGCTTTTTCAGAATTTTTTTTTCCTAATTTAGGGAGAAAAGTTTTATTTAATTATCATCCTTTCTTTTTTTCTTTTTTTTTTTTTTTTTTTTTTTTTTTTTTTAAAACTTTGAATTGACCAACTGTGTATCTCCCCCTTGGCTTTATCAAAGAAGCCACCAGTACCAGAGCACATCTAATTTTAAGAGGGCTTTAGTAGGCAGCCTTAAAATCATGCATTTTAGTTTCAGTAACTTGCAATTTCTGCACACTTTGATAGTGCACTTTTAAAGAACAAGTCTTCTTTAATGACAAAGGCTTAAAAGAAATGACCTTTTTGAACAAAATATCAAAGCTTGGAAAAGATAGTTCCTTGGAAAAAAAAAAAAAAAAGCCTGAATTAAAATGACCTTGTGTTCTGAAACTTTTTCATACAATATCTGACGTCTTACTTTTCCTTTGTACCCTCCAAACAGGACGAAGAATAATTTAAAACCAAGTTGTGTGGTGCCTCCAGTCCATTCTGTGATTTGGGGAGGACTTGCAGGGCATTCAGATAATTAAAAAAGGAAATCAGATCCCATACACGCCCTCTCTCAAGTCCACTCAGCATCGGAATCAAAGCTGTGCATGTTTGTCAGAAAACGCAATAAAACACTGAAATATATTCTAGTGATCCCAAATATTTCCTTCTAGTCACAACAAAACTGTTTTCTGTGCAGCAAAATCATTTCTGAGCTCGAAACCACCCCGGTCAGGGGAGATTTGGGCAAGTACCAGGAGTATCTGCTGTCCCCAGCACAATTAAAGCTCTGTTGTAGCTGCAAGCAGAGGGCTGGGAGAAGGAGGGAGTTGTATCCTTTTCCTTCCAGCTGTACCAAAAAGGAGCATTTTTGTTACGTGTAACACAAGAACTGTGAGTGGCACTGAAATAAAGTGTCACCTTGATAAGGGTCACGTCCCTTGGTACCGGTGGAAAATGTTATGATGCCTTTTCCTTTACAGAGAATGAAACAATCTTCTCTCACAGGGCAAAACGGGTGAAATAAATAAATAAATAAATAAATAAAAAGTACAAAAGAAGTTGCAACCACACTCCAGCTGGTTTTGCCAGACTCTGTTTTAGGGACAATGAAGCCAAACCCTGGCAATTCTTTACTGAGTGGGGAAAAAGAGATGCAGAGAGCAAGGAACAGGTATGGAAACCTTTCTAATCCCTCAGTTTGGCCTTTAACTCCTGTTACCAAAATTATCAGAGCAATGTTAACAACGATTACAAGAGAACTCCAGCCAACCTTATACTGAAGTTCTTACAGGGTTCATGAGCACCTTCAGAGTGGTCCTCAAGCTGTAACTGATGTTGGACAGAGTTTTTCAGAGTTTTAGAACTCCCTGATTGACCAGCAACCCAATGACATCAGAAAGAAGGAAATCCAGGGGGGTAAAAACCTTTTACTGCCCACAGTTAACTAAACACATCCCAACAAATTCCACCTCCTAGATCTCCCCATTTCCCCAGGCAAGGATTTGTGGCACCTGCCACAGCACCTCCTCCCTTATCAGAGGAGCCCTGACAACCCCTTATCTGTAATTAGAAGAATCACTTGTTGACTCAAGGAAGCTGGAAAACCTGCCCAGGCCTGGGCTGGGCTGACAACCAGCAAAGCACCCAGAAGTTGGAGCCCGGGTTTGGCACGGAGAGCCCTGGCACTGCCAGGAGGTGGGGTGGATGGAGCCAGCCTGCCAAAGCCTGTCCTCATTGATCTCAGTGCCAGGAGGAGATAAGAGCCCAGCTGGTGAGCTGGGCCTTGGCAGGACAGCCACCTCCAGCCAGGGCACTCCAGGGAGCAGGACCCTCCAAATCCTGCCTGGATCACGGACCGGGAGCACTGGAGACCCCAGGGTGAGGGAGGAGACAGAGGGTCTCACCACTGCTGCCAGAGACAGGAATTCCTGGCCCCACCCCAAGCACTGAGGCCAGCACTGAGCCTTGATCCAAACGCTGGCGGCAGGACGGTGCCCAGGAAATAAAAAACCTCTTCTTGTGCTGGGCATATCTGAATTTACACATTCCACATGGACTAATGTACACTCTGGCTCAGGGATGGCCAGGAGATAAGGATGCTGTTCCATGCCTGGGAGGCAGAGCCAGCTATGAGGACTTCAGCTTTCCGTATCTCACCAAACCTCATCCCAGCAAACTCTCTGGAATCTACTCAGATTTCCCAGGATCATCCTGGAGAGCTGGCACGTGCCCACTGCTGGAGTCCCGTGCCCAGTGCACACAACCCCAACAACAGAACTGGCAGCAGGGCCTGCCTTGTCATCACGGTGTTCTCCTCCTTATGCCAAGATTATCCCTTGAAACACAGCACATATTCCCAGTTAACAAAGCCATACACAACTCCCGTGGCCACTGAGGTGAGTGAGTGAGATGCCCCAACAGGACAATAATGTCAAAACAAAATATAACAAAATAATAATATTTTAATCTTATGTAAACACACGGACACAGAACAATGTCAAAATATGTTAAAATATCTTGGACGGTAATAATAGAAAATGGGATTTTTCTTCATGTTTAGGAGTGAAAAGAATGGTATTGGGAAGTAATAACAAAAATATTAGTAGAGCAAAGTCTACTTGCTCGGTAAGCGAGCTCAGCATGGAGTCAAACCATATCAAAAGCATAAGTCTGTAATAAAATAATGATAAAAAAATAATGGAAGGAAGATACAACAAAAACCATGCTGGCACGAGCAATGAATATGTTTTCATGAACTTCATGAAAATTTCTGTGCTAACAAAAGAGCCAGTAATCTTTGCATTTTAATTTACAAGAGCCAAATCTTCAAACCTATTCAAAGCAGTCCATTTGGCAATCAAAGAGATTCCACCGTTTCAGCAGACACCTGAAAAGGAAGAGATTCTTGTTAGTTATATCTTATTATTTTTACTCTAAAAACACAACAGGCTGAAAGCAGGGTTGGTTCCAGTGGGCAGCGGGCCTGGAGCTTTATATTTATCTAACAAAGTTACCTATAATGGGCTTACTACCAAGAATCTATGACATTTTCAGTTTCCAAACTAGCTTTAGCTCACTCCTGATAACAAATAGTTTAGGATTAATATTTTCAGGCGACTTTCACACTTCTAACATTTCCACAGTTGTTTAAAGAGCTTACAAATGTTCACAATATTTTTACAAGAAAACCCTCGTGCGAGATACGAAATATCATCAAAGCCTACAAATATAATAAAGATGGAGTGGCTTTCCTAGGAAGTTTCCTTGTACTCACCTCTCCACGTGAATCACTCACTCTAAAGGCACAGCAAGGCTTTTTATGGCTGCACCACTTGCCATAATTTATATTGAAAGGGTGTAAATGTCTGGAAAAAAAAAAAAGCTCGGGGCTCGTGGAGATCCGGCACTTTGAAGATGTGATCTGTAATATTATGCATTGCATCATTGTTTTCTATCTTGAAAGGGGGTGGCATCACCGCAGAGCTGCAGCTGTGCTCTGAGCCACTGCCTCATCCTCAACGTGGAGGCAAAGCCCAGACTTGCAGTGCACCTGCGAGTTCTCTAATCTTGCTCTAATAGCCCTGACTAAGCACTAAGGGAAAAAAAGAAATGCTCAGATGCTTGTTTACTGAAAATAAGGATCTCTTAAAACTGCAACCCCGTTGGAGTGTTTTAATTAAGCCGTGAATCTTCAAGAAGTGGGATCCACAGGTGTGAAATGGTGCAAATGGATCAAAGATAATCCCGTACTTTTTGGCGGGTCAGGCGTTCGGGTCTTCCTGGAGGATTCTTTTCTGCAGAAAACTTACCTGTAAAATACATCCCACATGAAAATATGACACAATACTCCAGAGAATATATTTGCTCTGCTTTCATAAAATGTGGGGTTTTTTCTGGTCTCTCCTGCCTAAACAAAATCCAGTAGCTGCACAGGAGAACTAATACTTGATAGAAGACTGTTCTCAGGGCTTCCCTGGTGCTGCTCCAGCTGCCCATTCTCTACTCCTTTAGGAACAGAGTCAAACCAGTTGTTAAACCCAGCTGGTGTTACCATATGGGTTATGCAAGGGCTTGGGAGCTCCAGTTCTCCTCTCAGCTCCCACGTGATTCCAGTTCTCTGATCCCTGCCCTTTTGCTCTTGTGATGAAGGTACTCACCTGTTCTCCAAGTGTGGGAAAATGAATGTTGATTAATGCACTGCATCCACTGCTGGACATCTCCCCAAGAGCAGACAATCAGGCAGCCTCCTTTATATTTAGCAACATTTGCAGAAAACTTCACCCAAGCCTCGAGTATTTTCTTTTTCCCCCCCTCCCTGTTTATTTTTATCCCTTGCTCGGTGCTCTTTACCCAGCCTATCCTCTTCATCCTCCTCCAACAATAAATAATCCTGACAGGTGCAGAGATTCCACTGCCCTTCTTGTCTGATGTTTTCAAAGAGGAATTTCAGCAATTTTCAAAGAGCAGGACACCTGTGCTTCAGAGAGGGCCCAGCTCCCCGAGTGGTCTGCGACGACAGCAAACACAGCCAGCAGCCAGGAATTTCTGGGAGAGCACCCAGGTTTTAATGTGTGGAGTTGCTTTTACCTCCTTTGAAATGCTGTTGCTGCTCTTACAGGAGCCCTGCAGGTGGATATCGGATTCTGCCTCTTTTTTTTTTTTTTTAACTCATTAAAAGGTGTGGTATTCTTGTATTAGCTCCGAGTAATGCTTCCTACCAGGCAGTGCTAATCGTCTTTTTTTAAGAGTCTTTAAAAATAGCTTTTTACTATCAACTGGAAATAGATTTGGCCCACTAGACCCTTAACTCTTTATTTCCCACAACTTATTTAAATGAGAGAGAGCATCACTTCCAGCAGGGATCCCTTGAGGTGGAAGCAGAGTGTTTACAACCAAAGCGTTGAAGTTGTGTCACCGCTTGCACAGGGAAATGTGAGTTTCCATTATGAAAATTTCCTGCTTCCATTGCAGGTGGCCTTTGCCAGGGCAAGTGTCTCATGCAGAGCAAAAAATGCTATGGAATAACCCTTATGCATTGCAAAGAGAAAAAAAAAAAGGGGGGGAAAACTCCCAAATACATTAAATTATCAAAGATCTCCACAGAGAGAGATTGCATAGGAAAGGGAAATGGAGAGTTTATAGAGCAATGATTTCTTGAATGGTCCTGAAAATTGGTATAAGGAGCATGCTGGTGTCGAGCCCAAACTTGTACAGTGTGTCCTCAGGGCGTCTGCTCTTCCCAGAGCTCCTGGCAGCTCTGAGTCACCAGCTCTGCTCTGCCTTTCTCCCAGTCCTTCCCTTCAGCCAGGACAGATCCCAGCTCCTGGTCCTTCCCAACACACTGAAATGCAGTCCTGCACCGGCCATGTGTGAGCATTGACAGTGTTTTCCTTGGATTCCCATTATCCCCCAGCTATGACCACCCTTCCTTATTGCTATTTATCCTTCCTCCTGTGAGCTCAGGCAATGATGACGTTTTGTTTTCTTCCAGCTCCCGCCACACTGAGCAGAAAAAGCACCAAATAACTTCTGTGGGAACCATGAGCAAGAAACACACCCAATTAATCAGCTGTTCCCTATTTCCAGTGACATTTGGATATTCCTATTAGCCAATTTAATGGTCGATTGCATATAAATCACATCGATTCTGCATTACTCTAGGAGAGCTTGTGGTTTGCAATATTAAAGACAAAACATTACAGATGTCTGTTAGAGCCTCTTTAGAGAGGAAAATGCAGAAATACCACAATGAACATTTGGACTAATATCCTATAAGAAATACAATTTTCTTTATTATAGAGGCTGCAAAGAAAATAAAATTATTTCTAATCCTCTTCTGCACCCTTTATAGGCAACAGTTAAGTGATTCCTGCAGGAGAAACTGGGTAAGGAGGATGAAAGTTAACTGTGTGCTATATTTGAAAGGTTGAGATATAAAACCCTAATACTGAACATCACACAATTTTTCCTGGTAAAAATCTGGGATAAGATATAAGATGGTAGCCCTCAAGGTGAGGAAACTGGAGGAGAAAAGCCTTCTGAAAAATGACTGAGTGAAAACCCTGTGAGTGCTGCCATATTTTGGTTTCGAGACTCACTCAGTATTTTTGGCCAAATTTTACATGGTCATAATTTCCTGTCTAGAACAGATGGCTTTTATCCAGTCCAAAAAGTTGAAGGACAATAATAAGAATTTACCTGAGATTTTAAAGATAAAATGGTGTCTTCAAGTTCCTTTTTTGAGGCTGCTGGCATCAGCCCTTTAAGGATTTTTTCATATTCTTCTCGTACATTAATCAACTGTAAGAGAACAAAAATAAAATTATATCTAAGTGGCTACTCTTAGATGCTGGAAAGTAACTTTTTTTTTTTGCTTCTTTTGCCCAAATTGGAGTCCAAGTAAACACAGAATTGTGCTATCAAGGGAGAGGAAGGAGAGAGAAGAAAGAACAGCCAAGACCCCTAAGGAGCAAAAGAGGTAAAATAGACAAAGAAAGGAGAGAGAAAACGTAAGAATAAAAATATACAGAGAGGAAAAAAATAATGAAAAAGAAACAGCAAGGCATTACTTGGGACATGGCCTGAAGAAGCAACAATTATTCTTAAATCCATTTTAATTAAGCATTTATAGAGACATACACTTTGCAAACTGATAGAAGTTTTCTTTTTGTCTTTGGTATCCGAACCAGGTCACTGGAGAGATGTTTGTCCCTTGCTCCCTTAGACAAGATGAATTCCTGTTTCCTAGGAATATTTCACAAAACTTCTCAACTTCCAGGGGCCTTTAAGGATTTATTTATTTATTTTTTTAAAAGTCATCATAGAATTCTTTTTCACTGCACTTCATGGAGGCTCTGGGACTTTGAACAAATAGGTTTGAGCATCTTAGACCCGTTACAAGGCCAGATGTTCACCCCAAAACGAGGAGGTGTGAACAGGAGGACATTTTAGTTCAAGAGGTGCTGAGTAAACAGTGTCACACGAAGAGAGATCAGCTGGAAGGGTTGTGCTTTGTGTCCCTTCAGTGAGGTTGGATTTTGCTGAGTCTTGACCCAGGATGAGTCCAGAGAGCCTGGCTCAGGTCAGTCCATCACACAGGACACTCTCACACCCTCTGTTAGTCCTGGGTTGGACCAGGGCCTCACATCTGTACTTAACTCCCAACAGGATTAACTGCTTAATTCAAATTAAGCAAGGACTTAGGTGTTTCTCTGGATTAGCAGCTGAATATGTAAATAAAGGATCAAAGGGACTCAATATCAGATTAACTCATAAAATACCTCTAAACTTTCAAATTGAACCTTTTTTTTTTTTTTTTTTTCTTTTTCCCCCAATAGTTGACACACCCACGCCATTTGGGGCTAACTTTTAGTTCCCAAATCGCCAAAATCTACCATTGCAACCACAACCCAAAACCTCAGCCAGCCCTAAAGCTGGAGAAGGCAGGAGTTCCAAGGCCCAGCTCCAGGCTGGAAGGAGCAGCACACGCTCCCACACACGTGAGAACCCAGCTCAGAGTTCACCCCCAGCCACCCCCTCGCTGGGTGGGGGGAAAAAAGCAGCTCACGCCAAAATCTGCATCGTGCACCCTGCAATTCTCAATACAAAAGGGATAAAACAATCCCGATGAAACGTTAGGAAAATTCTCCCCCTGAGTCATCCCCCTGAACGAGCAGAGAAATCGCCAAATCTTTATGCAAATGGGCAATTAAGAGGCTTTCCTTGGGAACTGCGAGGAAGTGATGCCACTATGCAAATCCAAGGGAAGGGGGGGGAAAAAAAAAAAAAAGAAGAGGTGAGACAGGGAACCTTGTTTGAACTCTGCTTGTCTATAAGCCAGCCATCAAAATTTATGTTTTTGAAAGCTACACCAATAAATTTATGCTACTATTTCTATCAAGGCTTCCAAAGTAACGCTGAGGTGCTTTGCCAGGATAAATATTTTCTGAGCCAACAGCCCGTTTGGGTGGGGACCTTGATAGAGCAGAAACATATATTTCAGTTGATTCAACATGTTCCATTTATTCTCGGTGAGACGAGACCAGAAACAGGCAGCCTGAGCAGCAAAATGCTTTTATTTCCTAAATTTGGAACAATAAAGATCTATTTCATGGGCAAGAGGATCTACATGATCACCTGGCCAATATGCAGATGCAACAGAAATTTTAATACAGCCCTGTGAGGGAAATAAGAATGTTCCAACTGTGCAACAGTTTTCTTGAAACCAGGTCACTGCTTTTAATAAGTTTAATCTGTAATTGTCCTTTTAACACGTGCTTTCACAATGCTGGTAAGGTTTGCTATTAACTCTGCAAAGCAGCAAGGGATGATTCCCTTTTGACAAAGGTGTTTCTTGGAAAGCCAGGAAGAAAATACAGAGATGTATTATGGGGTCAGCTGAAAGGGGAGAAAGAAAATGAGAAGCAAGCCCTGGTAGGTGCAGCACAGCTCGGGCTCATTCCTTACTCTGGTTCAGGGAGAAGACACATTTTTTTTTTATTATTATTTGCAGTGAAACCTGTCCTTTTGGATACAACCCCAATTTGTCTGAGAAGACGAGATGTGGCACTTTCAGCTGTGCTCACTGGTAGCTGCATCACAATAAGATGGAAATAAGTTCCCAGCTGTTTCCTGCCATGTTGTGGTGAACAACCTGCTGGTATTTTTGGCTGAAGTTGCTATCAAGGTTTATTGACCCAAGAGATTGAAACAGCGCATGGCAAAAGTCTAAATCACTTCTTACAACTCCAAGGGGGCTGATGGATGCTCATTTGAATGGTGGAAGGTTTTTATTTTTTAGCACTTATTTTTGACCAATGAAAGCTATGTCTGCAGGGATTTTTTTTTTTTTTTTTTTGCCTTAAAGGCTTTTTTTGTTCCTTTATAGCCTCAAGCTGCCTCCCTAGGATCCACAAATACTCTGTCTCCTCTTGCACTCTTGAGGGATGTTTAAAATTGCAATTCTTCAGCCCTCAGGAGGGCTTCAGTCTGCTGGATGAGGATGGCTCTATTTCATTTACTGTTGTGCTCGCTTTTCTTCAGCCCTGAGAAAGCCTTTTTTTTTTCTTTTTTTTTTTTTTTTGAAAATTCATTTTGGTGAATTGATTTAATCCATGAACCCCCAGGAAGGTTTTATAGCTTTTAATATTAAGCTGCCACACTGGCCTTTGTTTATTCAGGTTGGTGGCTAACATATGAGGTTTAGAGTTTTGCCATCAATCATCTTTGATGTCAGCAGGAAAAAGGAAAGCTGAAGCTGCCACAAGTAGCTCATGTGTGCTCAGCCACACGATAAATTAGGAAAAAAAGAAGAGACAAACAGTCCCACAATTATACAAAGTGATGCCAAAAGCAGGGGAGTTGACATTTCACAGACTGCCAGTTCAGGTAGTTGGGCACTGACCATTCCCAAAGACATAAAAGTTGGGTTTGATGCCCAGAGGAGAAATATCCAAACCTGGGCTTTCCAAACCAAGCAGTCAGGCCTGGCCCAAAGCTTATCAACAGAACCACAGAATTGTTCAGGCTGGAAAAAGCCTTTAGCCCAACCATTAACCCAACACTGCCAAGGCCACCAGCAAACCATGTCCCTCAGCACCACATCCACACACATCTTAAATCCCTGCAGGGATGGTGGCAGGGACTTCCTTGGGCACCAGTGCAAGATGGGTTTCAATTTTACTACTTCAGGAGCTCTTCAGGTGGCACAGTTCAGTTCTGCAGCCACTCATCACCTCTGAAAGCCTCTCCAGATTTCCCAGCTGTAAATTACTTTATCTGAACCAGAGGAGCATAAGGAAACTGCAAAAGAAACTCTGAAGCAAACATTGCCAAAGCAAATGAAGGCAACACAGAAGAGTTGTTCAAGTTCCTTTAAAAAAAAAATAAATCTTGTCTTGAAGGGCATGAACACATTGTGTTTATGTCAGATAAGAATCAAAAGGCAGTTCACTTAACTAGGGTGTTGTGGGTTTTTTAGTTATCTTGATTTCTGCCTGTTTGTAATATTTATGAAGGGTAATAATTCCACATGTGCCAGGAAATACTAGGATAGTGACCAAAAGGCATAATTAGGATCATTTAATTGTTATCAAATTTTCTCCACGTTTCAGAGTGAGTAAGATGAGAAAAGTAATTTCCTGTCTCTCTCAAGTCCCTTCCTGCATTATTTAAACAACTGCATGTTATAATGCTGTTTAAAAGAGAAAACTCCTTAAAAAGGTTATGCATCTGTTCTGCAACACACATGAATGAAGACATGAAAGATCTGCTGTAATAAATCTGAAAACAGGTTGGGGTACCAAAAAGGTAAAAATAACTCCTTCAGCCTTAGGCAAATCATTTAATCTCAGGATAAAGTCTCCTCCTTCTAAATGAGGGTAATGATAATAATAATATTGCACAGATCAGCTTCATTCAGGTGCTGTGAACACTGCTGAAAGAATCTTCTGAGAGCAAAGGGAAAGTGAAGGGCAAATCACTACAATGCCATCCCAATTAAAAAAAAAACACAACCCAACCCTAATCAACAACAGTGCTAAAAAACAAACAAACAAACACAAAAAAACCCAAACAAAACCGCAAAGAATTATTAATCACTGCTCATTTGTATCCTCCCTAATTGCAGGGACTCCTCCTTTGCTTCTCAGCACTCCTGAAGTCTAAGTGAGCACAGCTCCACTCCCACAAAACCTCTGTGGGTCCAGATGTGCCCCTTCCTCCCTCAGCCAGCCTGGGACACTCTGGGCAATGTCTAAAACCCAGGAACCAAACCAGCCAAAATGGGCAATTTCCTTAAACTTCAGATTTCTCCGGATTCTGCTGTAAGAGAAAACTTAACTGGAGCTTGAAATCTGCTGAAAACAATTCTTCCTAATGAGGAATCCAATGATGCATCAATTGGTTCAGTGAAGATCAAGGCCTGAACATCTGTCTTTTCAGAAAATAATCCAACACGAGTATCTGCTGCTTTTCAGGCCACATCCTCCCTCCTTCCAGGCAGTGGGAACTTCGGCTCTTGCTGTGCAAAGGACGCTGAAATATGGCTCCTCCAGATTGAGAGAAATAGACTGCAATTTGATACAAATGTTCTCAAGTTCTTAAGCGAAGTAATGAACGCCATAAATCCCACGAGTTTGGCTCAGCTGAAAACAGTAACCGAGCAAGATCAGCTGAGCAGAGTCATTTTGTCAAGTGGAACACCATGTTGTTCTCCGCTGAGGAAATACTGCTGGAGCACCTCCCCTGTCCTGACAGTTTCAATAAAACATAAATTGGTGGCATAGACATCCTCTTTGTTT